CCATAAAATTCTGAATGCAAATGCTTAGGTGAGCTCTGAAAATGCTTCGAACCGTCTGAGTATATCACTTAAAAGTGCGTACTGTGTAATATGTTATTGCTGATCTACTAGGAAGAAAGGGGCAACAATTCTCGAAGTTGATAGTATCAAGCTTTGACTGGTGATATATAATTTTTCTGTTATACATATGATGAAATGTTGGTTTTCTTTACAGTAATCTGAAAAATTCGACTAAAAGAGTACTTATGGCTGAGTTTTATCAAACTCAATATCGTAAAAAAGAAGTTCAGAATGGATTTCCTTTCTCATACAGTATCGTAGTGATTATACATTTTCTCACTAAATTAACTGTAGGAATATATATTTAATTGAATTTTAGATTTTCCCGTCGACTGATTGGGCCGAAGTCCCCGGTCTCAGGTTGACATTTCGGCTTCTTGTGCAGATGCTTCGACGATGTCTGGGCATATAATTAGAAGTTAATTGGTGGATGGTGACTAGCAGTGGAATCCAGGATGCTCATTTCGTCCTATTTGGGACTCGTCGCCTGGATGTGGCTGCATTCCGCAGTGAGTGATGATGTTTCCATCGAGGCTGGAACCCAGTGTCCATAGCTGCAACCGCCTCAGTGGGAACATCATCACTCACTGGGAAATGCAGGTACATCCATATGACGAGTCCCAAATAGGACGAAATGCGCATCCTGGATTCCACTGTTAGTTACCATCCTCCATTTAAATTGTAGAAATATGTAGTCTGAGTCAGAAATTGTTGTTTATTTTCAACATTTCCACAGATTTTTCAAGTATTTCTGAGTGTTGAAACTTACCGAAAAACCTTGATCATACACACGCTAGTCATCATCATAGTTCTGCTTCTGTTTGAAAAGGCTGACAATTGATTAAATATATCTCGTGGGATTACTTCCAAATTATTTTATCTCCACTTTTCTACTTTTTCTACAGCTCAGATGTGTATACATATGTGTGTGTGTGTGTGTAGGCGGAAGAGAGTAGAAAATCTCTTCATACAAAACACTGCTTGTGAATATAAATTTCCTGAAAAATTCAAAACATATTAGTCCGGGACGATAAAATATTATTATTGGCAGTTGTAGTAGTATGGTGTATGCTTCTTCTCTCCAGTAGTACTACCCAGACAGCAGAAAGGAAATGCAGATGATTATCTGTATTGGAATAACGATGAAATTTAGAAGCCACTTACTATTTCAACCTAATGAATATTTAACTTAGGACAAAACATCAAAACAATTCTCTGTATTTGCTGGAAATAAAAGTCATTTAATATGCACAGACTGAGGAATATCTATCCTACAACAATAGTGATGATTTATTAGCCTTTGGTAGTTAGGTATAGAGCAATTTTCAGATCACTTATGGCTTGTTAATATAGTTTTTGTTTTTAAAAAGTTGAGTGAATAATTCCACCGTATATATTAGTTCATCACCTGTCACACTAAGCAAACTTCGAAGCGATAAATTAGGTGATAAAATTACTTATTGGTCTTGATGACTGTACTCTGGTGAAAGATGGATAGCCGTAAAAGTGATAACATTTGCTTATGTTTCATTTCAGCAGCTAATATCTGTGATAAGTGAACGGAGAATGAATTAGGGTAATAAATCATATAATAAGAATAAACTCACACAGCTTATGTGTCACTGGTTTTCAGTTATTTTCAAAACAGTAATGGGATGACGGCGTTAGGGTAAATTTGTGTATATGTCGCAGTTATTTCACCTGGAACAATTTCTGAGATTAATCGATTTAAGCCAGTTCTTAATCTAAATCCGACATTAAATAAGTTCATTTGATGTAATACTTAATGAGTGACACAGTACCAATATTTTGATGACATATCAAGCACAATTTATTGTTCATAATCCTATTATACACTTATCTAATGCGGAACTAAATTCTACCATACTGCTCAAGTTCTAATCTTACATTAGTTCTTAGTGTAAGTTTTGATTAGTCTCTCAGAGTGATCAAAAGTCTATTTAGAACACAACACAATCATTTAATTACCCTGATTTCGTCAGCAGACATTCCGGATAATATTTGCCGTTTTTAGGGAGATAACCTTTAATTAGGTGAAGCGACTGGATAATGTCTTATCTAAGGTTTAAACTGCGTATGATTACTCACTACACATAACAAATACAGTTCGAATTTCTAACTTAAAACTGGGTCAGCTTGAAGCAAATATGAATCCAGATATTTTGATTCACCACCAGGAAGTAACTAGTACCTAGTCTTTTGTTGTGACCGAATTCTATTGGTTTAGTTTGCAGCTAATTTTGAATTGACGCGGAATGATTGGTTCACTCCGCAGGAAAACCTCAGTCAATTAAGCATCCAAACCGCACCTACACGGTATCAGATAGAAGCAGGTGACACTGCTAGCACAACCTATTTGTAGATATCAGTGAGTATAAAAAGGTGCACGTGCTGAAAATTGCTTCTCTCCACCCAACAGTAACAGGATGAAATTGACTACCGAAATGTTCTTTTTAGAAACGATGTTACCGACCACATATATTGTATATTGTAAAGGCGCAAATGACATGCTTTTTGCGTAATTTAGTTGTTTTAAAAGGACTTTATGCCTGAAGATAAGTCATCAGTAGGCAATGTTTTGTTCCCTATTTAACTGAAGTCAGTAGTATTACGTCATTTAATGTTGCAAAACGTTCTGAGATGCAGGGGGAGGTTGACTATGAATGCTTCGTTTATTAATAACAAAATCTATCCACGGTATTAGCAATGATCAGAGCTGTATGTTACAAGAACTATCACAGATAGTCACACCTGTGAAAAAAGCAACTGTGTATCCTAACTGTTGTCATTTCAAAACGGCTTACTTTTAGGCAGTATCATACAATGATTGCATAATTCTATGCTAATTTAATATGTCCAGATGAAGAAAAATATCATTACTGGCTTCAATTTTTCATTTTTTTTTAATGGTTTGCAATAATTTTGTGACATAAATTTATTTCGCGCTACATTTGTCTAACAACTATTCATCATATTTCAATAATATCTGAGTGTTACCCGCGAATATTGATCAAATCACTACAAAATGAAAGCTCTGGTAACTTGTATTAGACCTACATCCCATCGTTATCATATCAAAATCCAAAGTTAACGTCAAAAATCTGTTTATAATTTTATGTGAAAAAAGCCTGTTTATATTTTATCATTTAGGTTGATTGTTTCCCACACGCTAATAAGCTATTCAAATGCATTAGGATAATTATGTTTATATCCCGGGTTATTCATAATCTGATGTATTTGAAAAGCATAACAGCTTACAAGATAGCATCAAGCATATTTTATACACGAAGCAATAGTAAGCCTTCATTTTTATGGAGAAGGCTGAACACTGAGCACTTACTGAACCACAGTTGTCAACAATCTAAAATAAACGTCAGTTTTCCTACATGTTTGGATCAGTTCTCGATAAAGCTACATAATATCTTATCAGATACTTAGTCAACTATCATTTGTGATAGTGGTAGGCAGTTGAATACAGAGATTATTCGTAGGATTGGTAAAAATATAATTCAGATTATTCATATAGATTCACTTACTGATTAGTTATAAGTTGAAGTAATTACTTTACGAAGCATTGTGAAGTGAACAGAATCCGCTTTTCAATAGTTGCAATCTCTCACAGGTGTTTTCAACGTCAGTAAACATTTTAGCTAGGATTTTAGTTTTATTGCTTACAGGATTTCATTATGAGTTGACATTGGTTAGGGAACCATTGGAAAACCTGAGAGTACTGGACAGCTGTTTCGTTCTAGTTTGGGACTCTTCATTAGTACTCGCTAGGATGAAACAGCTGTTCAGTACTCACAGGTTTTCCAATGGTTCTCTAATCAATGTCAACTCATAATGAAATCCTGTAACCAATCAACCAAATCCCTACAAACCAATACTTGAATTTTTGGTTTTAGTCTATTCAACCTAAAAATGTGCTCATAAACTAGTTGACTATTACTCGTTGTTTATAACCTATTTTGCTACTTTCTACTGCCATCAAAGTTGAATGATATCAAAGAAGTCTGAAAGTAGCATATATATATATATATATATATATATATATATATATATATATATATATTGACGGTAAGTTGTGTCGAAAAAGTTTAGCCAAAAACCGAACCAGAGTGAAATCGCCCTGTACCACGCTGTTCATTAGTCACTAATACCTTTCATCGGAAATGTAAATAATAATTTTATTATGGATTTCGACTGATGTGTAATGTAAGTGAAATGTTTGGTCCAACCTCTCTCCAAGAAAAAAAAAAAACTAATCATAGTCAAGCATTCAAAAAATCTTTGTTTGTTTTCATCAAGATTAAAAGATTTTAACCAATTCATGGTGAATCACCTACATATTTTAGACTATGATGTCTTTCAACCGACTACACTGAATCTACTTATGAACAAGTTTAGTTCATTTTTCACCATCTCAAATAGTTTTCAGTAAGTAAAAAAAAATCCACGATAGAAACGTTTTACGTCAAAATGTATTCCACAAGCGACTGCATTCTGTATGACGTTTTAAAAAATCTAGATAGTTTTTTTCTGTAATAGATTTCTAACTACATAAGCAAATTTTTTGAGTAAAAAAAATATTTTTAGTTAACCGACCTGACTTACTTTTGTATCTTTGCATAAATTAGAACCGTTTTCAATTAGGTCCTCTTATAGTTTTTTATTGACTATAACGAATTACAGTCAAACAATTATCTTAGCTTGTGCTTATTGACCAGATTAATGATATCACTCCCCATATTGTGTAAATTGTTTGTGTTCAAGGTGTTTTTTTTCCCACTGCTTCTTAAATAAAGGCACATAGCTCCACAAATCCCAATTTAGTTGATCAATCGAAACTACATACCATGCCCTTCTGATTGGCTCTTAGAGTAACGTGACCTTGGTGTGTTTGGCCAAACAGGATTGGAATTTTTTCTGTGGATAACTATAGTGATAGGTAACATATTTTCTTCATTATGTGTAATTTAAAAGCATCACCTTCTTTCGTGAATTTTGAAGCACGGAAAAACGTTAGCCAGTCATTTAATGAAAAAAAAACGGATAATTCATTACTTCAGCATGTGATTGTAGTGGTTTAGATATGCTTGAGATACAAGATGTTCCATCAGAGGCAAGAAAAATTATTGATAGAAATAATTCTAAATTTTTATTGTCAACAGAAAATACATATTCATGTGGTGTCATTCGTGAGACGGAGATAATGACAAGTGATAACAGTAACAACTCCTTAGCAAACTTTAAAGTTCATGGTGAAACTATTTTAGAAAAACAAGTGGAAAACAAGCAAAAGCAAAATCGACATACACCAAATTTCAAACAAGGTAACAGGCATCCAGTTTTCAAAAGCAGTACTCAGCATGATAAATCAAATAGTGAAACAGACAGAACAAATGAAGATGTAGAAAAAGGCGATGGTGATCATGACGACAAACAAAATAGTGCAAAAACTGTGAAGAAAAAATGGAAACACTCTGTAACATACAGTGATAATGTAGCGGAAGCTGTCAACGAGCCTGTGGATAACTTACTGAATACTTATAGTGTAAATAACTACAGCGGCTCTTCATCATCTTTCTCCTCTTTAACTGAAAGTTGCACATCACAAAAGGACGCCAATTCAATATCCCCAGAAGCACATCTGTCGAAATTGAAAAAAATACACCGCAAGGCATCAAGACGCAAAAAGTTAAAATATTTTAGGAAAATATTTTATTTTGTATCAATAAGAATCATTCTTATGACCACATTAATTGCAAGTCTCATATTCCTTTTGGTTGGATATTTGATAAGTATAAGATATATGATGATAACTGGATGTATACTGTCATTGACATCAGCTGGTTGTCTAATTCAGTTATGCTTTTCAAAACGTACGGCTCCAAATAAATTTAATCCTCAATCTGTGCCATTTGCACTAGCTGCTGAAGACCTTCCACAGACAACAGACAAAACCATTATTTCACCATTATCAATAACAACACAAAACAACTCAAACACGGTATTCAATAATAGCAGTGCTTTAGCTGACATAAACACCGACAATACAGGAAAACGATTAACTGTCTCAAATACATCATCTACTGTACACTTGACTCCAGTAACAAACACACCATTAGTCATTGGGATTGATCAAATTCAAGCTAGACGTTTAAGTATGGCACTACAACGTTTAACAAGAAATTCAATCCAGCCTCAGTCATCATCTTCATACAAAAATTATGAAACATCAGGCATGCTGAACATGGCTAGGCGTTTAACAATGGCCACCTCAGCTATCGCTATGGCTGGTAACGATCGCGATTATTATGGTCATTCATCATGGCTAACTGGGTCCAGAGTTAGACATGGTGTACGACGCAGCTTGGCGTGGAATGATTCTGGTGCGACAAGGTTTTATGAACAATGCTATGATTAGCGAGGACTTATTTATAACTTAAAAAATAATTTGGAAAAACAGTTGTTTATTTTGGTTTTTAGATGATCTAAATAAATATTTTATTCAGCAAAGTTGTACTACATATAAAAAAATCATAAAAGCTCATTTTCAGCCACTCATATTCTTTCGTAAGTTATGCTTCAATTGTAATCCAAACGTATTTGTCACCATTATGTCTTGACTTATCGTCATCGATTTATAGTCAAGATATGCTTGGTCATGATAGGCCTGTTTGTGTATTTAATCCAATAACTTTTCAGACTGAACTAAACTGCCTAAATTCATAGAATCTGTCTAAGTATATAGACATTCGAGATACTTTGTTGTAATGTGGGTTTAAATATTCTCTGTTTAGTGTTTGTTAATGCTTATCAAGGTCTACACAATCTTTTAAATTTGACCACTTTATATTTCCACTGTTGTAACAGTATTTGATATGCTTTTTTATTCTTTAAATACCTTATTTAATAATTAATCAGCTGTGTAGATGAGGATTTTTATTTTAATTTTTTTTGAGTAGACTGAATGAAGCAGGTTTCATTTTTTTAAAGCGAGTGTTTAAAACAAGGCTGTTAGGAGTTTTATAATGCATATGTAAATGCAAAACTAGACCACAGTATGTTTGACCCTATCATAAATTAAATCTGTGGGGACTCAAGTTATTTATTATTCTTTATTATCAATAAACACAAGATTTAACCTTGGGGATTCCTGTTGATCTGTGTTTAATGCAGCACAGTGCATTTTCATACCGCGCAATTTATGGAATTCTATGCAAATTTCATTAATGAACTTTGATTACTACTGAGAAATATATATATATATATATATATATATATATATATATATATATATATATATATATAACCATAAATTATGGTGATAAAAATGCGGACATGGTTGTAGGAAAGAAAAGGCGGATGAGTTCTAATATGGAAATAAAAGTCAATTTTGTAATTTGCTAGTTAACTGTCAATGATATGCAGGTGAATAAGTACCCAGTTCATATTTTATAATCATTACAACTTCACCTACAGAAAATGAGATAAGTTTAAACTGAAAGTAAAATATTTCAAGGTTAGAAAATAGGTAGTCGAGGTTTTATCTAGGTGAGTGTTATTATCTCGTCCGGGCAAAGGGAAATCCACACTGCATTTCATTTCTTTTCTGTTACTGACTTCGTAGGTATATGAGTTATCCTAAATGGTGTCTATAAACGAAGTCTTATAATCATATAACTGTTAATTCATTCACTTTTTATGCATGAAAAATGGGGACCATACATCAGCTTTATTTCTTCCTCATAGTTGATTTCAGTACAAAGATATTTGTAAATAATTTGAATCACTGATCAGAAGACTTCAATTATATTTTTGAACTGCCTAGTAGGAAGAATAACAGGAGGACTATTCACATAGACAAAATCTGTGGGTTTTTCCTTTCTGTGATATTTTGCACTGTCAGTCAACTATCTTTTAGAAGAAAAGTTGCTCTATCATTCGCCCACCAAGCAGGATTTCTACTATTTGGAGAGTAGATAAGAATTCATTGTTTAGTAACTTTTAACTTTGTGTGATTCACAATATGCCATTAAAACAGTCTTGATGGCTCTTTGATACGAAGTGTTTCTTAGAACTCGAACTAATGGTTTGACTGCAGGAGAGGTTATTGGTAGTGATGACAGATTATTCAGTACATCAACTGAGGGGCTAGATAGTATTTAGGAATACAAGTTGTCTCCATCAAAATGATAATTCTCGTTGGTCTGAACAATTTATCTGACTGGAAGCAAATTATTTTAGCGGAATCACATCGGAATCAGTTTGACTGATAATGGATCAAAAATTCTAGATTCGATATTTGTACGAAAATGAGAGGACGCTCGGAAAGGGTTCATACCTTCACTTTTCGCCAGGTTCTAACTACTGATAAACTTATAGGTGTCTAGCGCGTCATACTAATAGAGTAGAGGGCAGCATTTGGCTTTGACGATTGGGAGATAGTGCAGCAATCTTTATTTGTGAAGTAGACGCCGAAAAAGAACTTTCTGACAATCAAGACGTGTGTTCAAATTCATGTAGCCATGTAAGAGTTATTTTCCGAAGTGATGTCTATCATGGATTCTCTTTCCTACCATTTTCGTTGAATTTATCATAAATGTGGCGACGGAAGTGATCTTATTTTGGTAAATAGTTGAAGGTGTTCAAACAAGAACTGCTCTTCTGTCAATAAAGTCTCTGACTATTGATTTGAACCACTCAGATCCTCGAAATGCATCCAGTCGACATTTAGAGATTGTTGGTGACATAGTGTAAGGTCATCCACGATGACAGCGATGCATTTCACACCTTCTCATTTTGCAGATTCCTAAAATCTTCACTATGCTTCTTTTAGTAACTTTATTGTCCACGTTTTTATTTGTCTATTGCAGTATCACAGCAATTCTTTTGTCTCATTTCATGTGCGTATCTGAAGTACGATCACTTGAACAGTTTCACTTCTTTGTGAAAATCTAGGTCAACTCATCGGTCAGTCAATCAACCCGTGAATGAATAGAAAGCATTTGTTACAGGTTGGGTGAAAACATTGGTGTATGGAGACATAATCACTGCTCACACAGAATCCCGTTATCTATATGAAGAAGTAACAGCATTCAGAAGTAACAGATTATTTCATTCTCATTTAATGCTTACTTGCTGACATGTGTATCTGAAGACTTGATGGCTGTTAATTCTGTCTTTTCAAGAGTTGAGGACTAGCCCAGCGGAAATCTGCAAGCTATGATGTAGTATTCATCCACTGCCTTTCGACTTCCTAGTAGCTAAGGTAACATCTATAGAATGTTCAGGAAGTATACTTTTCATAATTTTTTTTAGACATATTGAACTTTGATATCTTACACAGAATTACATTCACCTCTCTCTGTTATTCCAGCTAAATTAATTCATCTTGTAGATATTTCTGGATTCATACATCTGATTATTTTATAAAGGAATGATAAGATTAAATTGATTAAACTATTCATTTGTTAACAGTCACTTCATTCGAACTTAGGATACTTCATTGCAATCATGACAGATAGTAAGGCAAAATTTAATGACAACCATAGCTTTGCTACCGCTGTAGGCACGATTGCATACCGTTCATTGATCAGCTTTTATTATTTCTAGCCATGTTAATAAAAATATGAGATTTTGTTGTTAATATTATTATTGTTTTCTGACTGAATACTTTCTCATATTAAATTATTTTCTATTTCAAACAGCGCCACACTTTGGAAAGTCGAAGAATATAAATACAGCATGTTGCAATAAAATCATTGTATTTTTTTATTGGTGGAAGTAGTAAAACTGATTAAATTTGTGTTTTATGAGATTTATGTAGCAAACAGTTAGAACATGGGGATTGATCTATACAGAACACATTTATTATTGATAAGTGGGATCATTAAATGCGAATTGTGTGCTATTTCGCTTGAAGATGAAAGCTACTGTCGTCTGATACAATAATAAAGATGCTAGAGCAAATTTTGCTTTAAAAACATGCCTCATGTTTTTAACTTTAAAAAAAATATTTCATTCATTAGAAATTCAGAAAAACAGAATGACTTTATATTAATTTCCCATTTAAAACTCCACAACTAGTATTATTTCACCAGTTAATTTCGAATCAGAACGGAAAACGTGTAGTGTAAACTTCAGTCTACAATCACACCCACGTCTCTAAATAAACCTGTTGGTGTTGTGTTAGTGTCAGATCCTAATTTTCCCCAACATCATACGCCTATAGAGCATGATCATTATACTGCACTACTGTTTAGTGTCTGTTCAGCTAGGGTAAATTTACAGGTCAGGGATTTACAATCACTTATGCAGAAATCGATCTTTAAATTAACAAATAAATTAAAATGATTTATTATTCAGCCTAATTTAGCGAGGAATTAGCAGACTTCAAGACAGTTTTCATCAGACATCGGAAAACTGAAGCCTAGTAGTCTTAAATCTCTAATACCACTTTTCGGCAGTATATACATGATTGTTGGCACATTTTTATGCATTTATTGTGCACTGCATTTATTATTTTAATATAGTGGATTTCATAAAAAGAAATCATTCAGAATGCGGGTGATACGATTTTTCAAAATATCTAAGGTGATAATCTTTTAATCTGTACTAATTTGACATTTGAGTTAAAAACACCTAAGTGCCTCATTTGGTGCTAAAAGTCAGGTCAGTTGCTGTTAAACAGTGTCTGAAACAGTACATCTATTCAGTTAATTTTATTTCCTCTAGTAGGTGTCCACCGTATGAACAAAATATTGTCCACATTAACTGAATAAAATCTATCATCAATGTTTCCAAGGCAATTGTCAACCAGTGTATAGGTGGAAAACTATGAAGTGCTTTTTGATAATAAAGTTTTCATTTCAGATAATCCGAATGAGACACATAAAATCTCGGTAATCCCTTATCAGGCTACGTTTATTTCAGCAAGAGCCTACTCTTGAACATGGAGACAATCAGAATGCTCACACTAAAATATTTTAAGAAAATGAGTAAATATCAGATTTATCAAGTGCAATATACACAGTTCGAGGTGGAAATTAACCACACTTCTTTAAAAACCAAAAATATTCAAATCTCAACATGTTATATATTCGATACCATAAATAATAATCAAGAAAGCCAGCCATATGGCATGATGGTACTATACTACTGATTGATTTAAGTAGTTGAAAAGCCTACCTTCAAAAAGTAGCAGTTGCTGAATATTTTTATTTTGATTACAGCTTGATTCCACATCGTATTTTTGGTACAAGTATGGAACTTTCAGCTTGTGATATCGGTAGCCCAAATTTTGCAAGCCGACTATAGATATCAGGTGTGCGTCGGCAGAGGATCGAACTCCGGACTATGTGCATGGCCGGCGAGAGTCCTAACCACTGTGCTACCGACGCACATAGACATTGACACAAATAGATCTAAACACCAAAAGGCCATTTTACACGTTGGGGGTCGAGCTTGTCTCTGATGTACTCGGTAGGACTCAGCAGAAATAGATGTACCAGTTTACACTACCTGCCCTTTGTTTAGATTGCTTTGATCTGGCCGGTAAGCACTATTGGTTTCCAGTCACACATATCAGCCAGTGATGTGTACCAAAATGAGTAGAACTGCAGTTGAATGCAGATGTGTTCCTCATGTTTTTCAGACTGCCTGGACAAATATAGTAAAAACGAAGATGGCTTAAGCAGTAATCTACATGTAATGCAGAGGTATGTTAGTAATGATAAACAGTAGACGATGTATTACCAGACTATATAAATACATTAGAATAATATGTCCGTTTACTAGTTCACTGGTAATCCTATGTAACGTGCTCTATACCGTCTGTCAGCCGTTAGTAATACCTTGTGAAAACTTTGAGATACATATCTTACAACAAGCTAAAGGGGGGCAGTTGTGACTGGTTTATATGGGTGGAAAACAAAAACCAGTACTCTATTTTTGACTAATGTCATTATCAAAATGATGGTAAACCGGAAATTAAAAACATCAAAGTTTCCATACAATAAGCCGATCAAAGTGGCTGTATAGGGATAATTTTACGTTTTCAGAAAACTCAAAAAAGACAACCTGGTAAGCTAGTTATGATAAAAATCCAACGAATTACAAGTTGAAGTTTATATACATATATATATTTCTCATCACAAAGGTACTGATTTCTTTCTATGGAGGAGGGTGGAAAATATCCCATGCTTTGTTTTGTTATCTTTTATTAGTGCCTGTTACTGTTTACACAGCTCAGTTTTTATTTTTATGAAAAGTCTACTGTGACTGGCTAGCCATTTTGAACAGGCTCAGTGTTATCAAATGGCCAGTCGTCGAATGTCCTGCAATTTTTTATGGGTTGTTGGCATATTTCATTAGCTGCTGTTTTCTTATTCTGATATCACAGGAATTTAATCCTAAACATATAGCGTCATAATTTAATTATTTTATTTCGTGAATACATTTAATACAATCTAATACAATACAATCTGATTTACGTCAGCTGAAGCTGTTTTTACTTCTTATTCAGCCTTCTACAAAGTAATCTGATGTCACAATTTGAAGTTCTACTGTCTAATGTATTATTTGGTGTGCAAAACATATAGCACGATGACGATTGTAATACACAATTTCAGAGCATTATTTACCCTTTGTAATTTTCAGTTTTGAACCCACTAGGCTAGATACTAAGTGTAGCTTTTGTGAAGATATTATACTGTGTATCAATTGGCTCCTTAAATGGCATCATGATAAAGTTGGGTAAAAAGATAAGAAGCGCAGGAAAAAGATTTTTTCTACGTTTAATTTTTCCTCTTTTATATTCTGCAATGGTAATCAATGTTGTTGACTTACTTGAAAGGTCAGTATGATCGATAACATTTGCACTGAAGTAACATGATTATCCTAAATCTAAACTCTTGAAATAAGTTGTATTTTTGGGAATGACTATCGTTCGTCTCCCAATCTATAGTTATCATTTAATAAATGTATAGTGCATGGTTAGGTATTATTAGTCCTGTGATTTATGGAAATAGAGTAGCACTGAATTAAGAAATAGGTTACAGTATTGACTTTGATTGTAATATACACGAAAAAATTAATCAGTAATTTTTGAAGATAGATTCACGAGAGTGTAAATGCACTTCAACTCTTAATAAGAATGTATGCAAGTTTCAAAGAATGCTTTATAATTTATAGATTGAAAACACATTATACAAGGATTAACTTTAATTTTTAAGTTAATCAGGTAACAAGTTAAGGTGGGATCGTAGTAGCCACAACGCAGTGACAATTCCAACTTGTATAATGTTTAGTTGGAATGTTAGGTTGCGTACAGAAGTAACAAAGGATGGTGTGTTACTATCTGACTTGATTATGAACAAATGTCGGTTTCTTCGTTCGTAGGTCATGTGACTTTGTATTTTTGACCGATCATCCGTCTTTATTCTCAATGATTTGGCAGTGTCATAAGTACATCAGTGTGTATCTTTAGGTAAATTGCGTAGTGTTACACAGAAAGCTGTACTGGTTCTCATGTGATGATGAAAGTTAACCAGAGAAGATGAAATGCCACTGTGAAAGATTCTGTTTGTGTATGTTTAATCATATTCTAAGACAAAACTGTTGAAACTGACGAAAGAAGAGTTGAAAGTTAGAGATGTTAACCTTCTACATTACCATCTGAGTTTATTTTTATGAAAATTACTAATTTATTTAATATTCTGGGTAGAAAGAAAGCATAGAAATTGCTAATTGTTGGAATCTGTATAATAGATAAGATTATCGGTTAAATTACGTGATAACTCATCATCCAGTGAACCACTCACTTTGTAGTAGTACAGTTGCATAGAATTGCGTTCATTAAAATTTTAAATACTATTTTCATTTAAAACTTATGCCTCTTAATTTGCAACCTCTTAGAATAATGGAAAATATATGAGTTAGTGCTACCTTTTCTTTGATTTCCAATAAGTGTTCTAAAATAATTTCAAGTGAAGTGAATATCTATCAATTTACTTAACGGAAACTGCCATCGCGTTCATCTCGTACCTCAAGATAAAAGTCTTGTCTCTCTCGTTGATGGTGTTTGGTACTGTCTGTCTATCTGTCTGTTGTTGCTGTCGGTGGTGGTGGAGGTGTTTGGTTACCTTCATCACTTCCGTCTTCTCTTTGTTCAGCTGCAGTCCCGTCTTCGCTGCCAGCCAGCCAGCCAGCTCCTTCTGCCAGTTTGTCCGTTTTCGCCTGCAAGTCTTCGAGTTCGTGTGACACTAAACATAAGTCATTCACGTGCGAAATCCAGATCTTCTAGAATCTTCTTATTGGTGGTTCAGAGTATTCCTGTCTTCTCAGTGTGAACACACAGTCTGACGCGCAATCCAGTCGATCACAATTAGGAATATCATGGGCGATAACAGACAGCCTTGTCTTACATCTGTATTCACTGAAAAAGCTTCAGTGAGTTTTCTGTTGTGAATCACCTGACATTTAAGTCTCAGCTAAACTTTTGAGGTGAATATTATACATACATTTCATGTCTTCAGAAATGACCCTAATAATACTCCCTGAAAAAATTCAGTAACTGGAGTGTTATAAACTGGTTTTTTAATGCTATAGCCTACTATTCAACAATTTGAGATGAGATGTAACATGAAGGAAATAAACAATTACATGATACACTCGTAGCTTAGTTTTGGGAGTATAAGTCTGTCTAAGTCAATGATTGTCTTCCACATAAGTACGTTTTTCAGTCAAAGAAATCTTACCTTAATTAGTTTGTCTGCGAAGCTCTAATTTGTACTTATTTTTCTACAGATTCCATTTTGCAACCACCTTACACTGCGATTATTTTTGGTAACTGTGGCCTAAAGCAGGTATCGATATAAATACTTCATTCTGGAAAATAATCAAATTTATTTGTTCATTTGTAAACTTTTGAGGCTAACTTATTAACCTGAAAACGCCTAATTATACGTGTGAGACAAATTTTCGTAAAGGCATAAGGATCTAAGAGCGAAAAGTGGTTACTGAGTAGTTAGCAGGCAATAAACTGACTATTGTCAGGTCTGAAAACCAAATTGTCTTTTCAGTTTCCTATAATACCAAATTGGTGATCGAGATGTTAATCAGTAAATTTGCTGCTTATCATTTTTGTTACGTGTTTAAACAAACAGAACATATAATAAGGATGAAAATTAAACCATTACTTGTTACATATATATTCATAAAGAATTAACAGGTGAGCTGTCAAAATTCACTTAGCACTAATGACATTCAAGATATATTGTAAACAGCAGCATATTTTTCAGTTCAAAAGCTTTTGAATGGTATTTTGAGGTGAGGTAAATATCGGGTGAAGAAAGCTGTGTTAATTGCAGTATGCGATATACAATGGATAATTGTGGGAAGGGGAAAAATAAAATACTTTCTGGAAAAGTAGTGATTGAAGAACAGCTATAGCAGCTGTACTTGCATGAGAAAAGGAAATTATAATTTTCCACATCAGATCGCTTAGCATGTTGACGAGTTTGTAATCGGCTGTAAGTAAATGGATCACGAAGGTTATCAAGAAAAATTAAAAGAATAAACTGTCAGTTGTCCTATTTCCAGTGCAACAGAGTGACGTTACTTAAGGTTCCCTCTTAAATATCAAACAATGCACCTTATCCTATTTATTTTAAGAAAGAATAGTTTCGATAAAGAAAGAAACACGAAATTCTTTATCGAAATTTATCAAGGGAACCAAATGAAAGAATAGTTTATTGAATTTGTTTATGCTAAATGTCAACACGATGTCATCTGTTATAATGCAGTGCTGCGCCATACCTGAACTTCGTATTTTGCTATGCTGGTACAGAACTAAGATGATTAAAGAATGGTATTGCCTGTCAAAGGATAGCGATGGTTGTTTGAAATACTTGTTTTGAACAAGACGAAGATATAAGGTAACATTAGTATATGTGTAAAAATTCATGGCAGCAGTTGAAAACAATGATTATGAACGCATAGTAGACTTTCTTAATAGTGACAAAATATCAGTTTCGAGAGGTCGGAGAATACTCAGATTGCGAAACTCAACAATTTGATGGATCAGAAATCTGTATGTGAGAGGTATGAGACCAACAATAAGATGTTGTCGACGGTAGACAGATCAAAGTGAATTATTGATCTCCTGTTAAAGGTCCTCAGTCCTTCTTAGGTGTATTCCTTCACAAGAAGACTGATGGATATTTGAAGAGAAACCTATTTAGACAGAACACATGGATTGGTCAGTATGTCCATGTTCATTGTTACATACAGCTTTAATACAAAAAGAATTTATAAAGTGCCTTAGTTATAGAATAAAAAGTATATTTCCAGATGAATACATTTATGCGGAAATGTGTAAAATGGAGCTCACACTATAAGAAAGCAGACATTCAGAGAAGTATTCAAAAACGTATATGTTGATACCTGGAGATAGGGTGATAATGGATACCGTAGATAAGAAAATTTTATATCAAGTTAAATTACAAAAGGCGAATTGCTGCAGACATTCTAGAATTTCGTCTTAACTGGTCGGTTTAGAGTACATTCCCTTCAGCTAAACTGCTGTCAAGTTCCTCAACTGCACCACTCTTCATACAGTGAATCGAAGACAAATAACTAGTGATGGCCTTATCAATGTGCACCTAGGATTTCAGTTGCTATTTTGGAGCTAGTGATCTAGGCAGCACTCAGAGGGCACTATCCATGCATGGACATGAACATTTACCCCCATGGTTGATTTCGGGGGCAACCAAACGAGTAAATAGTGTGGTCTCAGCCCAGTTGGTGGACACTGCACATTCAATCAAACCGGAACTCGTCTTCTCGTCGGCTTATTGTGTCTGTGGTAATCTATTTAGAGGACCTCAACCGAGTCTTTTAGTATGTGAAATGGTGATAGTCAATACCAAAAGAGCTGCTTTCCATATCCAGAAGAAGTGTGTCTAGCCGTTTTTATTTACCTTGGCCTACAGTAAGGTGAAAATTCCTCTATAAGTACTTTAAATCCCTGTCTTTTAATTTTCTTCTTTTTCACTGATAAGCTTTTATTTTAGCCCCTTAACGATTTCACAAAGTTTCTTATCATGTATATCACCCTAGGTTTACGTAATGCTTTTTAAATTTGTTATTTCATTTACACAGTACGTCACATTTCACTTTATTAAATGTCTTACTACTTGATAACCATTCAGTAATAGTACTTTGGTATTTACATCACACTATCGTTATTATTTTATCATTATGGTCGTTATATATGTCCCTTGAACTCGCGTCTAGTGTATCCTATTTTTTGGTTTATTTCTCCTCTGTATTCATATTATCTCTCATATCACTGATTATAATGAACCTTGAAACATGTACTTTTTGCTGAATGTATATCTACATACAAACACATTCTATCGTACTGTTTCATTTCATTTTATTTCATATTCTTATATAAAGGTATGTGTTAGCGTTAGGACTAAATTTCACTTTAGCAATGGGCAAGTTGAAACTTAGGGACGTCATTCCAAAAATAAAATTAGCACTAAATACAATAGATAAAACAACTGCAGATGAGGTACGAGAATAATGTGCAGTAACACTGCAACCGCTGTGAAGCAAAAAACACAAGGAAAACATAAGTGGAAGCTTTAAGTAACCTTAAAAATAACAACAAATTAGAAAATTAGAAAAGTCTAATTCAACAGCGTTGTTAGGTAAATCAGGCTACTTGGAAAAGGTTACCGCATACATACAAAAAGTACCGTATCAGTGGACACCGCCATGAAAAAAAGTAAAGAAATCCACAGAGGATCGTTTATAATAAGTGAAACTTTTACCAGGTTAGCTGAAACAATTTAATTTAATGTCCAAAATAATGACCCTAGTAGGATTATTTGGTATTTTCAATTGTGGGTAAAATTTATTTTGATAAGGTCTCACAGTGTTGTACAGTAATATTTGCTGATAACGTTTCGAGCACAATTTATTGCTCATAATCATACCATACGATTATGATATTTATTTATTCTTACATCATTGGTGTTTTCAAAGTCCATCAAAATTAGATATCCCAGAAGACCCATAAACGGTTTTGAAAATTCTGTAAATAAGTGATTTATCTAAATATTCAGACAAGGCAATGGGCAAACTAGAAACTATCCACAGTGTAGACTTACTAATTCTCATGAACTCAAGCATAGACTGAATAATTGAAAATTATACAGGCAAGAAAAAGTGATGATTTCCGATATCATCAAATCATGTATACAAATACCAATAAATACAACTTTTGGAGCGGACAGAAATGAACTCATTGTCCAAGAACATGAACTAAGAACCAAAGTATCGCCCGAGTGCATCATTTTAGGAATGGATTTATGCCTCACTCCTACATTACTCTAACTCCAAGGAAAAGTATGCAAACAAACAGTAAGTTGAGATTGGTTCTCTGATATCCAGAATTGTGGTAGATATTAGATCAGAAAAGTGAGGCATGTGAACTTAGTGAATTCTAGACAAGCCGACCTAACTAAGCACAAAAAATCTAGAAAGAAGCTCATTTGTAGCATCGCATACAAGAATACAGTAGAATGAGACAAATTTACAGCCCATAATCTAATTTAATAGGCTGGAAGTGAAGATTGATAACTGAAGCTTTATGTATTGAATAAGTGTAATAAGAAGGATTCAGTATCTGTCCCCAACACCCAGGAAGTTCTATCATCCTTACAACAAATACGGAAAAAGAAAGAAATTAAGTTTGGAAGTTGTATAGTTACAAGTGACATGATTATAAACAGTAAACTATTTTCGAAAGTTCACCCAGTGAATAATACTTTCTCACTGAATGTTAATTCCAATAAAGAAATTACTGTGGAATTATAAACAAACATATAGGCATAACTTTAGTGTTACACTGATAAGTCTTCTTTGGAGTATTCGCTAAAATGGTATACAGTATTGCTTAAATACAGCAACCTTAAATATAAACTTCAACTTGAGGATCATATTCGTGTTCCGTTTCTTCCATCTTCATTTTATGCTCTCCAAACGGGCTCATAAATTTCCTAATTTCTCTAGTTTACAGATTAACCCGTCGCTTTCGTATTCGAGATGACATTACACAGTATACTAATTACATATTCTTTTCAGTAGAACGTGTCACAGTACGATATTTAACTGGAAACACAATGTCATTTTGTTTTACATGTTCATTTCATACATTTATTACAGTATCAGTATCATTTCAAAGTAAATGATGTCTTCATATAGATTCTTCCTATTAACGCCCTAAATATATGTAAAGCATCTTTATGTTGACATTTAAAAACTTACATACCTGCAATTATTAAGCAAAACAAATTCGGGTTTATATAACCATTTAAATATTTTTGTTATTACAGACTCGTATATCCGTTGGATGAACCAAGCAAACCAAAATATACCGAAACTAGAAATCTCCAACAACGCAATTCGTATTCTGTAGGAGTTTAATTTAATGAATTCACAGTCTCCTCTGGAAACTAAGTGAAATCAACATACAAACTAAAATAAAGCACTACAATATTTCCTCTTTGGTTTATTTATGCCAAACTACCGATACATTTTACAGATAATACTAAAAATGACTGTAATGATATAATGCATTTCAATGTATCCGACTGTCAATTATTATCCAACTGTTTACGCCTTACTTGAATTTCTGAACACTCGAGTTAGATAATACATTATTCTAAAAATATACTCTACAGTTTATAAGCGTAAGAAACTAAAATGTCAGGGCTACTAGTGCAAGCGCAAAAGGGTTAACCAGTGTGCCCATTAAGGAAATGATGGCTTAAAATGTTTCTAGTACGCATAAAATGCTACTTAAAAATAGTGATAAAGCCATCAGGAAATGAATTATTGATTTCTCGGCCATAGTATAAATTAAAGCCATTTGCTAAGACTTCATACAATTTTCAAAAGAATGGTTACTGAACAAAGAATACTCTTTTCGATAACTTTATCATCAGGCTCTACAGTTATATATACGTTATAGTGACTGAATTAGTGTTTTAAACAACATTATTGTTTAAATAACATCGGATCAATAATATTGATAGATTACCGTTCAATAGCGTCAACATAACAATAAACTGAATGTCAGAAAAATTAGGAAAGATAATAATACAAATTCATGAATTTTGTCGTCTCCACTGTAGGCTGGCCAGGGCAGTAGTAGTAGCTGGACTTGCTTCTTTTGCACACAAAGCACTGGTTATTTCACACGAATTGTGATAGCCTCTGCTGTTTGTATCTTGAGGTACCTCGATGTTTTTGGCAATTTATTTGGCACCCGGTAGATGATAGAGAAGGATTCCTCAATATTAGCTTCGTGGCCGCTTTGGACCAGATAGTCCTATATCGAACTGCAGATGGTTTTCACTACACCCTCGCTTAGCCATAGTGGGGGATGTTCTCGAGCACGAAAAATCAAGTTCCTAGAGCAACAGCCGATATAACTCGCTCCACAAGCGCAGTTGAATTGGTAGATACAATTGGAAGTGGTTAGTCTAGGTACTTCACCTTTCAGTTGAGGAATCACCATCAGTCGTGCAGAGAATGAGACGTATAGTTCGCCAACATTAAAAGTTGTCTGAACTGATTTTCTTAATTTCTTCGTAATTATTTCACTTGGTATATCGCCCTTGAATTGCAGTCGTATGTAAGTAAAAATATAATATGAAGTATAACATTTTGCTTCTCAGAAGAATGTGAATCATGTACGAATGTGTGTTGTCAAGGTCTTGTATCATTGTCATTAACGTATTCGTGATATATATATTGTTATGCTGGTAATCAGTTATATATTTTTCTAAATTCACCAAGCAGCTCTCTTAGGGATATTCTGAATATAGAACAAAACAAGTGTTATAGTGTACTTAGATGGCTTGTTTTGCACACTGACTACTACGATTTAGCGACATCAATAGTCATATTGTTTTGTGACAATGTTTATAACCTAGGAAACATAGTTTTAAAACACAGAGAGTAAATGACCGATCATCGGATGAAGAGTGGTCGAGAATTCACCATTCAGCTGGCAAACAAAACCATTAATATGGGCTTTTTTTTCCGGATAACGTATCTTATATTCGTACTATTCTGTGTACGCTGAGATCAAAATGTCAAAACCTTTTTGTCTTAAATCATAGTTTTTAACATTTTCTATCGAGTTCAACTAGAGAAGAAAAAGTTTCTTACTAAGGGAAGCAGACGAATTTCCAAGTGCAAGTGAAACATAATGAAATAACCTATTTGCAAGTGGCACTGTGAAGCTGGTTTCCAGTTTCTTTGTTTTCGTCTATTGCTGATAGTCTACACAATCCTAACTGAATCTAAAATTATTTATTGTCTTACTATAAACACAGAAAATGTCCATAATTTTATTTTCTGTTCTGCGGACACGCTTACGAAGAACAAGTATACTTTTAATCACGGCTTTTTAAGACATATATGAGTACTGAAAACTCGTACCTTGTATTCACCACTCAGATGTCGTCAATAATAAGGCAGAAATACTAGACTATTATTTCATTTGAGGTATCGAAGCCTAAGTCGATATGAGTACTTTTATAACACTTAAATTACATACAGAAAACGTCTATTTAGCCATTCTTGACTTCGCATACATAGCATGCATTACAGATATTTTTCGAGAATACTGAGATATAAAAATACCTAATAAAGCATGCCGCAACGAATTTCAAAATATTCGTGGTCAGGTAGTGAAAAAGTCAATTTTTCACGATTCGCCTTGTGTGTGTGACCTTGTAAACCATTTTGTTTTATATTCAGAAATACTGTAACTTTTCCACTGAAATGTCATGATTTGGTATTTTTCCATGTACTTTAAAAGTACACCATTACCCTTTACTACCTTAGTCTATGCTCTATGCGAAAAAGTTAACTGTGGTAATCTAGCGACTCTGACTGAGTGAGTATCATTTTTTGCGGTATTCACATAGAAGAAAAACAGTAGTAATAAAACTTTTGTTAAAATCAACTAAAAATCAATGAAATATTTCGAATTAGGGGAGAATTTTTTTTAAAAACTGATCAACCAGTTGATGATAAAGAATTAAAATAGTTAAAGGGAAGCACTAAATTGTATAGTGACAATAGAAGAAAATTCGTTGCATGGCTACATGACCTTAAGTTTGTAATAAAGCACGACTTAAAACTTCACATAGTCATCTCGTAATTTTATTTCTTAACTATTTGTCAGCTACCAGTCACTTGACTTTACTGAATCAAAATGTCAGCCATATACCCATAGACACTGATCACTTCAGCGCAGAAAAAATGCAACTGTAATGACAAGTTATAAAAACACCTGTTGAGCACAAGTTGAGTCTTTGGCTTCTGTAGTCTATTTAGGGACAATTTCAACTTGAAACCACAGTCGCTAAGCAGAGCGAGAACAATATTACACTGAAGTGCAAATAAATTCCACTACTGGTGGTGTTGCATTATTTACCAGCACTGGGCTGAACACTTCAAAAGACTTCTAAATCGTCCGCCACCTACAACACGTCCAGCAATACCAACAACGGAAGCAGAACTACCAGTGAACACTGACCCCCCGACGAAATCAGAAGTCCTGAATGCAATCAAGATGCTTAAAGCTGGGAAAACACCGGGACCAGATGGAATCCCAGCAGAGGCTTTGAAAATAGACCCAGAGACAACAGCGGACTTGATGACACCACTGCTGGAGAAGGTGTGGAAAGAGGGCAAAGTACCCGAGGATTGGAAGAACAGTTACTTATTCAAACTTCCAAAGAAAGGAGACTTAAGTCAATGTAAAAACTGGCGTGGAATTATGCTTCTGTCCATTCCAAGCAAGATACTAAGTCGCATCATCCTGGAGAGAATCAAACAAGCCCTAGATGAAAAACTTCGTCCGGAACAGGCTGGATTCAGGAGAAACAAATCATGTATTGATCAAATCGCCACTCTACGGATCATCATTGAACAAAGCTTGGAATGGCAGTCACCTCTCTATCTCAACTTCATCGACTTTGAAAAGGCCTTCGACAGCGTCGATCGAGAGGTCATTTGGAAACTACTTCGCTACTACGGGGTCCCATCGACAATTATACACCTCATCCAACAGTTATACGACAATGCTGCATGCCAAGTAATCCACAACGGGAAACTTACGGAAGCCTTCGAAGTGAGGACGGGAGTGAGGCAAGGCTGTCTACTATCACCAATGATCTTCCTGATTGCAATTGATTGGATAATGCGACAGACAACGGCAACCAACGAGGGAACAGGCATAAAATGGACTGACACAAAAGACTTGGAGGATCTGGATTTCGCCGATGATATATGTCTGATTTCCCATAAACTGGAAGATATGCAAGTGAAAAGTAACAAGTTGGCAGAAGAAGCATCAAAGATAGGACTTCACGTGAACATAGATAAAACAGAGATGATGAAGATTCCTAGCCAACATCAACAGCAACAACAACAACAGACCACAATAAGCATAAATGGGAAGAACCTGAAAGAAACAACCTCCTTCACCTACCTGGGAAGCATCGTCTCAACTACAGGCGGAACTGACGAGGACATCAAAGCCAGAATCGGAAAAGCAAGACAAGCTTTCATTACTCTCAAATCTGTGTGGAGGTCAACAGCAATCAGCATCAAAAATAAGATCCGGATTTTCAACTCCAATGTGAAGTCAG